TCAATATTGAGCATAAAATCAAAAATGTCTGCATCAAGCTTACTGCAACACACTGCTGTAAGAGTATAACCAGGAAGCGCGGTAGGAGGGCAAAATAGGTTTAGCGCCACCGCAGCACGGGAGGAGAATTACGCCCAGGAGCAAATGGATAAAAATAGACCAGAGGAAAAAAAAACATGCATCGATACTCCTGCGGACGTATCGATGCATCGGATCGATTATTATTCACACCCCTATCTGATTCTCTGACAGAGGATTTGATCTAGAGGGGGGATGTGGCCTTTAATTTACCAGGAACTCCATGACTTTATCCATGACTAATCTGCTGGTTCAAACTGGTCTCTAACAAAACCAGAATGCAAAGGCAGACTGGTCAAATTAGCTATCATTCAGTGCTTTTTTTTGTTGCTTTTTTCCATTACAAGGCTTTTTTCATTACACTCACAATTCCCTCTCTGCATTTAACCCCTCCCCTTGGGGAGCAGTGGGCTGCCATTGTGCGGCGCCCGGGGAGCAGTGTTGGGTTAAGGGTCTTTTTATAACAGGTACAAAGTTCTCACCTCAAATTATCTTAAAACCTGAATAGAAAAGATAACTTTTAACTTAATACTCTGAGCTCTGTGAGCGCTACATTAGCAGCTGCTGCTACCGCAGTGCATGCTGGGACAGCTGTCAATCTCAAGAATGGACAAGTCTGCTCTGATGCATGCTGGGTAAAGAGGGAGGGGCCAGAACAACATCCGGGGACTTAGTCCGTTCTCGGTCTTCTTGTTCTTGTGAATTGGAAGAGTTCTAGGGCTGAGGCTGATGACATTTCAGGAGCACATGAGAACACACAAGTAAATATTTCCCACAGGAATAAATTTGGTGATAAATATACTGACATGCCAACAGTGGAGTGGCATCATATATCTAATAATTTTAGATTAATAATATAATTTTATCTTAATGAAAACTTCAGGAGGGGAAAAAAACCAAGAACCAGCTGTTCTGAACTCCAGGTTTACAACATATTCTTCTATGAGCTCAGCTGCATAAGAGCTCACGATGCACCGAAAGCAAGTCGCCCATTACAACGTCTTGCTTGCTTTTCCCTAAACCAGGCGGGCTCCAAGGGGGCATGCTCACCACCAACTGCAAACTGACAACACCACACTACACCAGGACCCAGAAAACATGGCCATTAACTTTTTAAAGCCTTCTCATCCAAGAGCGACAGCTATTTCATTCCAGGAGCTTTTCCCACAGTCTGTTGATAGTTGTGGTGTTTATGGGCCAAATCACCGGATCTCTGGTGCCTGATGCAGAGATTCTGTCCACACGGACGGCATGCTCAACCTCTGATTCAAACCTGTGAAACAGTATTAAGCTTGATTTACGATTGACGACTCTGTGAGGTCGGTGCAGCCAATTTCGTCATTTTGGGCTTCCATCCCTCTCTGTGCAGACAGAATTTCCAAAAGGAGCACCTAGGAAAATTAGTAACTATGCGGACGGTGTAGGTACCAGATCTGCTCAGGGACCTCCCCTTTTTTATGTGGTCATCATACGGCAAATCCACTCGGACAAACTGTATTGCACCCGTTTCTTAAGAATAAAAGTAAGTAGTAAGTACTATGCAGTTGTTCATATACACACACACTCAAATTTCAAACAGACTGTATCGGCCGATACACAGCCAGGTATCGGGTATCAGGGTCAAAAAATGGCATCGGTGCAACACTAGTAACGCAATTGGCATGCGCAGGGCACAAGCAGATTCGGTACCTACACCGGAACCACACGGAAAACATGGAGAGCGGGCAGCTGCACCTGCTAGCGCAGGTTTGCAAACATAAACATCTTAAGACATCCTGTCATTTGGCTCATAAATATCACAACTATCAACACATTGGGGAAAAACTCCAGGAATTAAATGACTGTCGCAGTAGGACGGCATCAGGAGGGTTTGATAAAGTTGTAATCGGTTGTGCTTTCTACTTCCTTGTGTAGTTTGGTGCCGTTAGCCTGATGTTTGTGCTGAACTCAGCCAGAACAGGGGGAAAGCAGCATAGAGTATAAATGCTGCAGAAGCTGTGAGGCTCATTTTCCACGCAGAATGTCCGTGCACCAAGCATAAGGAGCCCTTTAGAGCCATACTAACAGGTATATATATTTTATTTTAAAAAATAAATAAATAAAATACAATCCACTGGACTTTGTTTCCAATTTTGAAGACGTTTTTTAGCTTCCCATCCAGGAAGCTTTTTCAATTGAAGTCATTCCTCTTCTGGAATGACTATAACCTGGATGACTGACAATCTTCACCAGCATGTATTTAAATGAATAAAATAAAGTCATAATATTAACTCAACAGAATTAAAGTTGTTAAATTACCAGAATACATTTGTAATAATAAGGCGAGTAGTGTTATATTAGCAGGTTAAAATCTTTAAAAGCTTTCTTCTTATTAAAATGACTTTACTTGTCTCATAGTGTTACAACTTTACTCTGAAATAATTACCATTTCCATTCTTGTAACATTGAGACTTTATTCTCTTTCTAAATATGAAAACTAGAGTCTTATTATGGCGCTAATCTTAGGGGGATTGTTTATAAACCATGCAACAGGAACTGCATCATTTTTTATCTCTATAGCTAAACAGAAACATTCGTCTTATTTTGAAGTCATACAAACTTTTCTGTCTCTGCAGACATTATATACAAACAGAGCTTCTAATAGCCTTGAGGCCGAGCATGTATATAAATACGGAGGCCCGGTCGGCTCCCTGATCACACAGATGAATGACGGACGAGTCGCGTTTTAAGGAGCCGACTTGGACCCAGTGTGATCTCCCACCTCGTTGATGAACTTGATGCAGTCCAGGAACATGTAGTCCTGATGGTACTCGTTAACCACGCTCTCTTCGATGAAGTGCCGAGGCTCCAGCGTCGGATGGTCTGAGGAGAAATCAGCGCGTTAGTCTCCATGTTCACCACCAGGTGGCGCCATTCAGCACTTCTAGAATTTACCATCAGCTTTGATTGGTTCGTTAGATTTAGATACGTTTTAGTTTTTAGAGACTAAAACTTTTAAGATTGGATAGTTTAAAATGTTTTCTTTGAAATCAGGTTCAACATTGAAACTGTTTGGCAATAAGTCGATTTAGGTTTTATTTAATGCAACATAGCAGAACTTTTACCCAAACTATTAGTCTAATTTAAGATCTATTCAGTGATTTCTCAGTTCAGTATTCAGCGGTTGGTGAATATTGATGATGTTTTCAAAAACTCTATGAAGTCGGATCAGAGACTGAGTGGGTCATGTGACCCAGAGCGCTGCTTTACGGCAGCCTGAGCTCCTCTTAAACTCTAAAGCTAACCAAGCTGTGCTAACGGTTTTTAGCAACCGCAAAAAAAATAAGATGATCGGACATATTTCTGGTTCTGTGATGCAGGATTTCATCTAGAGAATTATTTAATCTAGAGGGTGAATGTTTCCTTGAATTTTACAGGACCTCCATGACTTCTCAGTCTGCTGGTCCAAACGGATCTGA